ATGACGCCATACATTAGAAAAACTCCCCCTTATCCCGCCTCCGCCTATCCCCTCCCCAAATCCATCTATCCTCCCATCCCTATCCCCTCCGTACCTCCATATCCCCCTCTACATCTCTATCCCCCTCATCTATCGTCCCACATCCCCTCTACATCCTATCCCGTCACATCCCTATCCGTCCCATCCCTATCGTCCCCATCCCTATCCCGTCCCCACATCCCCTATCCCTCCCCATCCCCTATCCCTCCCCATATCCCCTATCCCTCCCCACATTCCCCTATCCCGTCTCCACATCCCCCTATTCGATCCACTGTTGAAGTAGGTGACTATTCCTAGCCAGCAGTGCGGGAGGGAGGGAGAAAGGGAAGGAGTGAAGGAAGAAAGGAAGGAAGGAAGGAAGGAGTGTGTGAGTGACGGAGGGAGGGAGTGAGTGGGAGATGGAGTGAGGAGGAGAACGAAGGAGGGGTTGAATGAGTGACGGAGGAAGGGAGTGAGGGAAGGAAGGGAAGAGGTGAAGAAGAAGGAAGGAAGGAAGGAGTGAGGGAAGGTTAAGGTTACAGTATTTCGTGGTCCCGTTGCCTCAGACCCCCGGGAAGGGTTAGATAAGGCTAGAGATCGTATAAGAACTATTGGGTTAGATTTAGTGGAGCTCTTTTGTTGGTGCCGTGACGTGCTAGCCTCAGCGTGTTCCCTCCCTCCTCTCCCGTTCAACCTGTTTTCCTCCTTTCTACACCTTTGTTTATCTATCCCACCACGTCCTGTTGTTGTTGACGTGGGTGTTGTTGTGGACTTTCTCGCACGTCCTGTTGTTGTTGACGTGGGTGTTGTTGATGTGGGTGTTACTGTTATTGACGTGGGTGTTACTGTTATTGACGTGGGTGTGACTGTTATTGACGTGGGTGTTACTGTTATTGACGTGGGTGTTACTGTTATTGTCGTGGGTGTTAATGTTATTGACGTGGGTGTTACTGTTATTGACGTGGGTGTTGTTATTGGTATGGATTGTTGAAGTAGTAAGAGGATTTTTATTAACTATAGTGATAATATATTTTCTACACGTTTATTGACATAGTAAAGGTGTACAGAGGTGTTAGTATGTTTAATAGATTCTGTTTATAAAGTATCACTGCGAAGATCCATCCTGTCTACGGGTTGTGATAACTATCTAGTAGAACATGTTGTAGTTGTTTAAGAGGAAGAAACATAATCCTTTAACTTAATTCCAACTCCAATTTATAACTCAGAAAGGAAAGTCTATATAAAGTCGTGAAATTATTATCCTTATTGATTAAAGAAAAGACTCTCCCTGAATTACACAGAGGGGAAAATACAGGCGTGTGATTATGACACCGTAAGTTAGGGGTCTGGAGTGTCGTGACGTAGATTGCTGGCACTTTTCATGGTAGGAGACGCATGGCCCTTATTATCTCCCCCCTCCCACACACACACACACACACACACACACACACACACACACACACACACACACACACACACACACACACACACACACATACTCACACACACACAACAAGTAGCTGAGTAAGATTTATTGATAATAATTCCTGCCACCTGTACCGGTACCTGGCTTTACGTGGCACAGGTGAAAGAGGTTTTTAACACTCGCTTGATAGCATTCATGACTCCAGTACCTTAATGTGACTTTAGCTTGGGTCTGTTGGACAGTTTGGTGAAGCTTTGCGAGGTGTTTCATGGTCACTGGGCGGTGTGGTGAACCTTATCCTGGGTTTACAAGATCGAATCCTTTTTTTTAGGGATTCCAAGGTACTGATTGGTACGTAGGAACTAATGAAACCTCACCATCTGTTAATAAGACTATTCAGGCGTTGGTGAAGCCTATTGATGTATTATTATTAATTGAAGCCTGGGTAGGTATTCCAGAAAGAAGCTTGGCTAGGTATTACAGAGTGAAACCTTGTCCCAGGTATTCCAATGTACCCGAGGAGCTGTGACGTGCGCGGTCCACAGAGACACAATTACGTCGGGGGGTAGGGAGGTAGCGGGGAAAGAATCCATAACCAATGACAGCCAAGTCCAGCGAGTTGGTCGGGTCTGGAATGAGAGGGGGTCATAAGTCTGGCTGCCTGGACCATCGCCAACCACCACCCATCCTGACTACAATCTATGAAAGTTCCGAACACTGTCGCTAGAGGTCTGGATCCCCCCTAACCGCTCCTGGAATTTCTGGATCATTGCCTGCGGATCACCAGCCTCCTGGAACCCTCGATCGCCCGTCATGGAATTCTGGATCACTGCCTGGATCTTTGCTTTTGGAGTTGTGGATCACTGTATGTCTAGACTATCGATCCGTGGAACTCTGGTGGATCAATGACATTACATTTCTGGATTACTGATCTTGAAACTTGAATCACCACCTCTGGAACTATGGATCACCACCTCTGGAACTATGGATCACCACCTCTGGAACTATGGATCACCACCTCTGGAACTATGGATCACCACCTCTGGAACTACGCATCATCACCTCTGGAACTATGGATAATTTACTTCTGGATCCTGGAATACTTGACAAGAAAGTCAGACCTTGAATATCGTCTTATGTCTTCCCTGGCGAGTAAAAATAGAACCATAACTTCTTGGATAAGTTAAAAATGGAATTGTTAAATCTTGTCTGGAACGTATGGTGTGGTAGAGGGTATGGTGTGGAGTATTACTTAGACGGGAACATGTGGAGTGGTAAAGAGTAAAGTGTGGAGTATTACAGAGGGGAACAATTGGAGTATTATCGGGGAATGTATGAAATGTTACAGTAAGAGTGGAACAATGATGACAGTATATCTTGTTGTCGCCAAAATATCTTACGAAATTAGTCAAAATTACACACTTTCTGAAGGAACGAAGGAATGTAGGAAGGAAGGAGTGTTGAAAAAATAATAATAATAGCCACGAATTATTCTGTTCACTTACGGCTGTTGTATTTGATGATAATGTTAGTGATTACGGCCATTGAGCGTGTAGGTTTGATACTTATAGTTACACGCTGTTGTTATGGGTGTGGTGGTGGTAGTGGTAGTGGTGTTCTCCCTCTCTTATTCACGGTTTTTAGACGTGGTGGTTGTGTGTGTTCTTCGTTATTCCTTGCTTATATTTCTCACATTATTGTATTTCACACACACACACACACACACCACACACACACACACACACACACACACACACACACACCTGTATTTCATCAACATCTTCAACAATAATCCTCCCTCCCTCCCTCTTTTACACACACACACACACACACACTGCTGTATTTCGTGTCCATCAGTACAGCAGCTGTAATGTATGATGTCTCCTGGGTACATAAACCACCACGTTATGAAAGCTCTTGGTACGAGGGAAAGAATTGGGTAAGAAATTGGCGTCCCTAATAGATGCAAATTAGCAGTGCATGACCCATTACAGTCCACTGCTAGATAATGACTTGTAAATGAGCCATGGGCGAGGTGGACCACTCACCCTAGTGGAACATGAGCGTAGCAACACACGGTAACTCTGTGGCTCTGTTTGGCTACTGTGTCACTCATTATGGCTTGTTTGTCACTCATGATGGTTTGTGTCACGTCTCATGGTTCCTGTGTCACACCCCATGGCTCTTGTGTCACACTTCATGGCTCTTGTGTCACTCATGGCTCTTGTGTTACTTCTCATGAGTCCTGTGTCACTCATGGCTCTTGTGTTACTCCTCATGACTCCTGTGTCACACCTCATGGCTCCTGTGTCACTCCTCTCCCTTGGTTCCTGTGTCTCTCCTTGGTTCATGTCCTCCTCATGGCTCCTATGTCCTCCTCATAGCTCTGTGTCATAGGCCACCTCCTGTGTCCACTCACTTGGCTCTAAATGTTAACCGATGTCTCCTGTGTCACTCCTCAAGGCTCCTGTTTCACTTCTGGCTCTGTGTCACTCCTCATGGCTCCTGTCACTCATGGCTTTGTCACTCATGGCTTCTTTGTCACTCATGGCTCTGTGTCACTCATGGCTCTTGTGTCACTCATGGCTTTATGTCACTCATGGCTTCTGTGTCACTCATGGCTCTTCTGTGTCGCTCATGGCTTTATGCTCACTCATGGCTTCTGTGTCACTCATAGCTTCTGTGTCTCCTCTCATGGCTTCTTTGTCACTCATGGCTCTGTGTCACTCATGGCTCTTGTGTCACTCATGGCTTTATGTCACTCATGGCTTCTGTGTCACTCATGGCTCCTGAGTTAGCCATGAAGTCGTTATTATTTGTTATCAAATGTTTACATATTTTATCGTCTAGTCTCCATTACCTGTTACGACACAATTAGGTCACCTGTTTGTAACTGATTAGTGACTGTGAAATGTTTAGCAAGGTGTTGTGTTGTGTAACTCGAGGAGGAAGAAAACCAGACACTAGGTAGGAGAACATTCGCCTGGCGTTACTATACCATGAGTGTGTTATCTCTAGTAGTGTTAAATTCTCGTGCTGGCGTTGTCTTGGGTTCTCCATTGATCTTCTTTACTGATTTGTCTGATGGATGGTTTTGTGATTCAGGGATCTTTTTGGGGGGTCTTGCTGTGTAGTGGAGGCGGGTGTGAGGGACGCTGCCAGCCACTTGTCTTAATAACACCGGTTGATAATGTGACTTAATTGAGAAGGAGGGAGGGGGGTGAGTGGAGAGGGAGGGTTAGGAAAGGGTAGGGAGAGGAGTGAGTGAAGGGTAGGGAGGGGAGGTAAACGACTGGATCACCTGAAGATTAAACACCCTAGCTTACTTCACATCATGGTTAAACACTCTTAACGTTAAAGAGAGAGAGAGAGAGAGAGAGAGTGTGTGTGTGTGCGTGCAGTATGTATTACAAGGTGTTATTATTATTATTATTATTATTATTATTATTATTATTATTATTATTATTATTATTATTATTATTATTATTACTATTATTATTATTGTTTTTATTATTATTATTATTATTATTATTATTATTATTATTATTCGTTACAGAGTCGCTGGTGTCACAAGAGTTGGCACAGCCGACACTGGACAAGCAGCAGGCGATGCGTGTGGTGTCGGAGCTGGAGGCTAATTGGGACGTGTTGGTGATGCACTACATCGGCCTGGTGGCGCTGGTGGTGATCGGGTGTCTCATGATCGTCATTATGCCCCTCGCCGGCCTGGTGTTCGCCTGCTGCCGCTGTGCTGGCCGGTGTGGCGCTCACGAACCTCACTACGACAAGAAGCGCGACCCCTGCAAGAGAGCCACCCTGGGCACCTTGCTGGCTATACTGGTGGTGGTCATATTGTGAGTCTGTCCTCCCTTACTTGAACTCCCTGTCACACGCACTTATTCCTTCCTCCCCGTCTTCCTCTCTTACTCCCTTGCCACTTACTTTACTCCCTGTCTAACTCCCTTATTCTGTCTCACTCCCTCCTTTGCCTCCCTACCTCCTTGTCTTCTTTCTCCTCTCTTATCTTCACTATCCCAAACCACTCTTCCCCCTCCCCTCTTCCCCCACTCCTCCCTCTAATCTCTCACTCCATCATCCTCCCTCCTCCCCCCTCACTCCCTTCTTCGCTTCTCTTCTCCCCTTTTTATTTTTCCTCCCTCCTCTTACTCTCCCTCCCTCTATTCTCCACCCTTCCCTTCCACCATATTCCTCCAATCATTCCCTCCTTATCAGAATTACAGGACAGTATTATGGAGAGAAAATGCTGAAAAATTATTGTACTTTACTGTATTGCTAACGAACAAAATTAAAGAAAATACAAAATTACTGTATTGTATAATGTCGGAAAAATGATACATTACAAAAACAAAATACAGTATTACATAAAAAATACAAAATTACTGTATTAAGGCGAGAAAAAACTTATACCAAAATACAAAAATTCTTGTAATATGGCAAGAAAAAATGATTACAAAAATATACCAAAAAGATGACACCAAAAAATACAATATTACGGAAAAAAACGGTTTAGAAAAAGTACAAAATTACTGTATTATGGTAAAAAAAGGTTCAGTCTTTCTTTTGATAGAATTTAACGCTACAGTGAACACCTTAATGAAATAACTGGCCTGAAGATGTAGTGGTGGAGAGGGAAGAATGATGGAGGGAGGAAGATTGATGGAGAAGAGGTGGGGGAGGGAAGAATGATGGAGAGAGGTGGGAAGAATGATGGGGGAGAGGGGAGAATAATGGAAAGAGGAGGTGGGAGAGGAAAGAATGATGGGGAAAGGGGAGAATGATGGAAGGAGGAGGTGGGGGTGGAGAGAATGATGGAAGTAGGAGGTGGGGGAGGGAAGAATGATGGAGGAGAGAGGTAGGAGAGGGAAGAATGATGGAGGGAGGAAGAATGGTGGAGGAGATGAGAGGGGGAAGAATGATGGAAGCAGGTAGGAAAGGGTAGAATGATGGAGGGGAGAGGTAGGACAGGGAAGAATGGTCGAGGAAGGGAGAAGGACGTGTGAAGGAGAAAAAGAATGATAAGGAAAAAGAGAGGTGGGAGAGGGTGAAGGAAGAGGAAGTGAAGGAGGGAAGGAAGAGAGAGGGTGTGTGAAGGAAAGACGGATATGAAAGAAAGAAAGGGAGTGGAGGAAGAGAGAGAGAAGGAATAAAGGAGGAGAGAAGGAAGGAAAGAAAGAGAAAAGGAAAAGATATTATTTTTGTATTTTTATTTCTGTAACCCAACCACCTCTTTTTGCAATGTTAATTCTGTATTTTTTGTTATTTCCTTCATTTTATTCATCCGTAATACAGTAATGTTGTATTTTATAACATCCACAACTGTATTTTTTGTAACGTCTTTAATCTTTCCATAATACAGTAATTTTGTATATATTAATTTTCTTCATTTTTTCTGTATTTGAGACTTGACAGTATGAAGTGTCTCGTATATTTTATAAGTGTGTTGATAAGTACTTGAAGGGCTGAGTCTGGTATTGGGTGATAAGTGTGTTCTATAAGTGTATTCTGGGTTTGTAAGTGTGGGTTATACTTACAGGTTGGTTTAGGTGTTCTTAGTATTTGTAAGTGTGTTCTAAGTGATTATAAGTGTGTTCTGAGTGTTAATAAGTGTCATGAGTGTTTATAAGTGTGTTCTGAGTGTTTATAAGTGTGTTCTGAGTGTTTATAAGTGTGTTCTGAGTGTTTATAAGTGTGTTCTGAGTCTTTATAAGTGTTGGGAATGTTTATAAGTGTATTCTAAGTGTTTATAAGTGTGTTCTGAGTATTCATCATGGTATTTTCTATGTTTCTAAGTGCCTGAACGTCTACTTGACAGGTTGGGTCTGGTGTGTTCCTTCGTGTCCAACGCCAGGATGGAGGAGGGGATCCAAGGACTGCCTAAGGACTGGTCCCTCGCTGTCCACGATACCAAACTCTTCCTCAATAATACCGATAGCGTGAGTACCTTACCTGGGGTCTACCTGCTCTAGTTCCTCTTCTCTGGGGGTGTTCTCTGGGGGTATTATATGGGGATATCCTTTTATGGGGGTGGGGGTATTTAGGGGACCTCCTTTTATGGGGGTGGGGGAATCTGGGGGCCTTTTATGGGGGCGGGGGGGGTCTCTCTGGGGTCTTTTTGTGGATGTGGTTTTGGGGTTCTTCTATCTGGGGGAGGGGTATAGTCTGGGGCTTTCCTCTGGGGGTGTGGTTAGGGTTAGGGTCTTCCTCTCTGGGGGTGTAATGTGAGGGATTTCAAAGCTTCTAGAGGGTATGTTAGGGTTTTTTCAGAGTCAGGGATGTATTATAAGGGGTTTTGGGGAGAATTTAGGGAATTTCTGCTTCTCTGGGGGTTGTAAGTTTCTTAGGGGGCTGTGATTCTGGATGTTGGACCTTTCAAGGGTGTGGCCAATAAATTGAGAGTGAGGTCAGGTCAGGTCAACCCCAGACATGTGTTTTGTGACCTCCTGGGCTGAGATTAGTGAGGTCAAGTAGGGATAAACTGACTGGATGGTGGTAGTTGGAGTAGTGGTGGTGATAGTCGTTCGGATGGTGGTAGTCAAGATATTGATAATGGTAGTTAAGATGATGGTAATGATACTGGAATGGAAATGGTAGTAATGATGATGATGGTGAGTGGAACAAATCACCATACGCCATCATTAAACTCGTTGGGAAGCTTTAATTATTGGTTGGACAGATAATAGGAGTGATAAGGGTTGGGTGTAAACAGGGCTATACCTCGTGTGGACCAATAGGCTTAGAGCAGTTCCCTTTAATGATGATATGGATCCAGCTTATCGGGAGAGATTTACCTCCTTCCGTCTACTGTCTACCGTCTACCGTCTCCCGTCTACTCCCCCGTCCCTATAAAAAGTGTACCTCTTGCATCTGTACACCTGATAAATCAGTAAGGGGGAGGAAGGTAAATTGAGTTACGACCCCTCACCTTCCTCAGTCTCCCCCGATGTCAATAAGGGGTAAATTAAATTACCATCATTCACATTTCCTTCCCACTACCCTCACCCCTCACTACCCTCACCCCTCACTACCTTCACCCCCCACTACCCTCACCCCCACTACCCTCACCCCCCCACTACCCTCACCCCTCCCTACCTCACCCCTCCACTACCCTCTTCCCTCACTAACACCCCCCACTACCTTCACCCCTCACTACCCTCACCCCTCCTACCCTCACCCCTCCCTACCTCACCCCCTCACCCCTCACCCTCACCCCTCACTACCACCCCTCCACTACCCTCACCCCTCCTCACCCCCCCTACCTTCACCTACCCTCACCCCTCACTACCCTCACCCCTCACTACCCCTCACCCCTTGCTAGTTTCACTCCATGAGCCTTCATTGCCCAGGAGTAGCCATTCTAAAATCATAAAGTCAGACCTAATTACGCGGTTTTAGGTCACTCAACACACACACACACACACACACACACACACACACACACACAGGAGGCAGCTTGGCACGACCCTTGTGCTGGAGGAGAGCTTTCTGGTGTGTTTCCAAGACCCGAGTCCTCCCTCCACCGTCACTCACCTACCCCTATGCTCCCTTACCTACTACCATGCTCCCTCACCTACTACCATGCTCCCTCACCTACTACCATGCCTCTCACCTGCCCCATGTTCCCTCACCCGCCCAAAGTCCTTCACCTGACCCCTCACCTGCCCCATAACCCTCCCACACTCGACTTTTCCTACCCATCCTCACTATTTCCCCTCACCACCACTACACCCCAATACTCATTTCCTCCCCTCTTCCCCATTTCCTCCCCTCTTCCCCATTTCCCTCCCCATCTCTTCCTCCCCTCTTTATTTCCCTTTTATTTCCCTCACATCCCTTCTTCCTCCCTCTCTGCCCTCCCTCCTTGTTTCCTTCTCCCTCCTCTCCACCCTTCACTTCCTCTCTCATTTCCCCTCACTCTGGTTATTCCTCCCTCTATCCAGTTTTCTGCTTCTTCCTTCTTTCCCCATTAGCTCCTCTCGTCTACATCCCTCCTTCCCCTCCTTCCTTCCCCTCCTTCTCTCCCTTCCTCCCAGCTGTGTGTTGTGCAGGGAGGCGTCGTCATTGTGTGTGTGTGTGTGTGTGTGTGTGTGTGTGTGTGTGTGTGTGTGTGTGTGTGTCTCCTCCCAAAGGTTGTGTCAGTTGGCGAGTCCCACAGTGAAATTATGACCAGCACAAACACTCTGTAAGGATCTTTAACCTACTAAGGTCCCAGTGTGGCCCAGCGGTGGCGTCTATTGAGTGCTTATAAAGATAGCAGTGAGGAGGTCCAGGGCAATCACACACACACACACACACACACACACACACACACACACACACACACCAACACACACACACACGTCTTTGGTCTAGCTCCCTGTTGCCTTTGTATTGCAGGTGGTCATTATCTTGTGCCTTCCTGAATTACATCCCATATTTTGTTGGGTGTTATGTGCGGGTGTGTGTGTGTGGGAAAGGTTTCGATGCACGTTGGGTATGTGGGTGGGGGGTGAGTGGTGTGGATGGGGGGGTGGGGGGTGTGTTGCTAATGTCTCTGGTGATTGGGAGGGGGGTTGGGGTGCAAGGACCAGGGTTGAGATTGATGGTGGTAGTGATGGTGGTGGGACCCGCATCATATGGTGTGGTGGGGTGAGGGGTGACTGGAGAGGTCCTTGCGAGGTACTGCTAAAAGGCGGGAAACGTGGGAGAGTGGAAGGGAGAGGTGGATAAGGGAGAGGCATGCAGGGAGAGTTAAGCCGCTTCTCTCAACACCATCCGGATCACAAACTATGCTCTGAGAAGTCCTGGATAAAGGAGAAAATGGATAACTGTTATGCTACTGGGGTTAGGTTTGGTTAGGTTAGGTTTGGTTCGGTTTGAGTTACTGCTCATCCCAACAGCTATCCACCCTCAACACCTATCCACCATCCCAACACCTATCCCTCCCAACACCATCCCACCATCCACCTCCACCCATCCCAACACCTATCACCCATCCCAACACCTATCACCCATCCCAACACCTATCCACCCATCCCAACACCTATCCCACCCATCCCAACACCTATCCACCCATCCCAACACCTATCCCACCCATCCCAACACCTATCCCACCCATCCCAACACCTATCCCACCCATCCCAACACCTATCACCGTCCCAACACCTATCCCACCATCCCAACACCTATCACCATCCCAACACCTATCCCACCCATCCCAACACCCTCCTATACACAGGTCAGGTATAAACACATGAAAATAGTGGTATGGTCAGAAAGAAATGGAAGTGAAGCAAAGGAGAGAGTGATAACGGAAGAGTGTGGTAAGTAACGTAGATGGGAGTGGCGTTTGATGATGATGGGGGGAGGGAGGAGAGGGTAAAGTGTTTGATTAGGTGGTAGAAGCAGAAGAAGGTGATAATGGAGGAGGAAGGAAGGAAGGAAGGAAGGAAGGAAGGGATAATGGTAATGGTGAGAGATGGAAATATTTATAATGACAGGTAAGTGGCCGAAAGGTGTGTTGTTTGTGTGTGGTGGTGGGGTTGTGTATAGTCATCTGTCTCTTACTGGCCTGGATTTGGGGAGGTGGGGGGGGGGGTTTTCCTTCTCTCTCTCACACCTGTTTCTACTATCAACCTCGGTGCCTCCTTCCCCCTCCCTTTCTTCTCCAATGACAGCCTGATCAACACGTCTCTCTCTCTCTCTCTCTCTCTCTCTCTCTCTCTCTCTCTCTCTCTCTCTCTCTAGCGCGCCGGTTAGTCGCCCTCAACCCACAGTCCTCAACCCATGGTCCCCTCAACCCCTCGCCCTCAACCCCGCCCCCTCACCAACAGTCCCCTCAACCCCACGTCCCCTCAACCCCAGTCCCTCAACCCCACCTCCCTCAACCCCTCCCTCAACCCCCTCCCCTCAACCCCCTCCCCTCAACCCCTCCCTCCCACACGCCCTCAACCCCACACTCCCTCAACCCACCCCTCCACCCCACCTCCCCTCCAACCCACACTCCCCTCAACCCACAGTCCCTCCAACCCACAGTCCCATCTTCCTCAGCTTAAATGAGACCCACACATGATACTCCTAAGACTAATGAAGGCAAAATGATAAGAGCTGAGAACCTAATGTTGAAGAGGTGCTAATAATGTGATTTAATAAAGGTGAGGTCAGGTGAGGTCAGGTGAGGTCAGGTGAGGGGAGAGGGTGGTCATATTATGTTACTCATGTTGGTGTTTATTTGTGTGTGTGTGTATAAGGAGAGAGAGAGAGAGAGAGAGAGAGAGAGGAGAAAGAGAGAGAGAGAGAGAGAGACATTGCAAGACTTTCGTGAGAGAGTTTTGGGCAGGAGAGGTAGTTGTGACGGTGTGTGTGGGGGAGGAGGGGGGATGGTGGTGAGTGTGTGTGAGGGAAGGGAGGGAGGAGGAGGGAGAGACTGAGGGAAAATAAGACGTTCTTCTGACCTAAAGGAAACTGGGTCGCGTTGTGGACCTCCCAAGACTTCCGTGATTCCTGAGAGAGAGAGAGAGAGAGAGATTTTGTCATTCATAATTCATGTTTGTGTTCCATTTAATGACGAATTGTAATACTAAAGGTGGTTGTTGTGGTAGTAGTAGTCACTGAATGCCGTATAGATCTGCGGCTCAACTAACTCAACACAACTAAGGTAGCTATTTATGTATTAGGATATATAATTTTAAGGTAATAAAATGGCGGCGAAGGTGTGGCTATTGGGGGAGGCTGGAGGCCATTAAAAAAAGAAAAAAGTAGTAGTAGTAGTAATGGTGGGTAGTTGGTAGCAGAAATAATGGTTGAATCTCCTCGTAGTATCATGTGGACAGTAGTGTTATCCGAAGAGAGAGAGAGAGAGAGTGAGTATGTGTGTGTGTCTGCGTGCGTGTGTGTGTGTGTGTGTGCGCGCGCTGATTTTGTTGAGGGCAGTAGCGAGGTGACGTCGGCGAGAGGA